TGTGTGTACCTTGAACAAATGCTAGAGTTACTTTATTCCAAACAGTATTTTAATTTTCAATGATTAAATTATATTCATTTTGATATCTTTGACCCGAAAACCTAAGGCAACCACACTCTCCATCTGTGAATACATTCATAGCATCAGGAACGTATTTTAAAAATTGTGGCAACAGAATAGTAATTTGTACTGGCAGTGTGTGGAGATGGATACCTCAGTGTTTGAAGAGAAACACCCTTTGCACCCCAACTACTCAGAGCTTCTCCTGAGATTACCAATCAAAGGAAAATCTGTTCAGTTTGTTGATGGTTGACTCTGCATCAAAAGGTGAAAAGTGAATTTGAACGAACTTCCTTTCATCTCTATTTCAATTGTTTATTAAAGCTGATTACAGTTTCAGTATACAAATCTGATTTGCTTCATAAGCATATGAAAATAATTGATAGAAGAGAATTTCGAAGTGTTTTCTGGGATTCTAATTTGGCTTTACAGTGGTGATATGGCTCTTAAGTTTGCTGAGTCTTTTTTTGTTTGTTTATTTTATTCTTTTGGTATGAATCAGCCTTCTGCTATACTGGAGAAAAGTGGGTTTTATTTAAAAGGCCAGGTTTATTCAGATGGTGCAGCGAGAGCTCTTTTGGTACAGATCGGAAGTAGCCATTATGAACAAGTGACACTCACTTTATTCCATCTATCATGATTTAAGTATGTATGCTTTGAAAACCTGCAAGTCTATGTTTTCTTTACCAATACTGTTGAAGTATAATAGTTTAACAATAATGTATCACCAAAAGAATTTTAAGATCATCAAATGCAAATTTTTCAGAAGAGACATTTATTTAGTCTCTACTAGTTATTAGAGGAATTATGCTGAATGTTTTGAATATATTAACAGAGTAATATGATTCCTAAAGTCACATATCTGATTTTAGTAGCAGAATCCAGAATAGGGCACAGGTTTCTAGCATATCATTCTGATTTTAAGTTTTAGAAACCATTTACTTGAATCGTAGAGTAGTCCAGAAATTCTGTCTTCTAATCTCAGTCTTAATTGCTGTATTCATAAAGAAAGGTAAAGTCCTTCCTGAAGGTGGTGTGCATTACAATGCTTTTTAAAATTTTGCCTTAAACAAATTTTTATGTGGTTCTAGAATTGTTTCTGGAAGCCAATCATGTTTTATGGTAGGCAGCCCAGAGGAGATTTTTTAAGACAGTATGTTCATACTGGAACCTTTTCAAAGCAATGTCATGGAACATGTATTCTGTTTTTTAATATGGCTAACAATTGACTTGCAAGTTTATGTAAGCAATCTAAAGTACAAAAAGGGAAAGGAAAGAAGGAAAAATATTCCCTTGCCAGCTCAAATGATCCTTGTTAAATCCTGACAGTCCTGGCAGAGCATGGCAGTGTGGCACTCAGTTATATGTTTTTAGATGCTGTACAGACCTTCGAGAAAACACTGTCTGAAGTTGTAAAACATTAACCAGCCCAAGCTGTACTATTGTGTTGTGAGTAGGGATAGAGACACTTTAACAGTTCCCAAGTGACTGTGAGCTTTATTTCAGGTGCACAGTTCCAATGTTTTTTATAATCAGCTTGCTTTGCCTCATTTTGCCTACTAATTTCTGCAAATGGTCACAAATATGACCCAAAAGGAAATGCTTATAAATAAAAAGACAAATTCTTCATGTACTGGTTCCAGGTTAATTGGGTTTTGGTTTTTTTTGTGTGTTGTTGTTCCTTTTGTCTTATAGCTCAGTGACTTCCAAACTGTGGGTTACCAAATATAAAGTCAGTTAGTAGGTCACAGTTGACCTTTTCAAATTTAGTAGGATATATTTAAAAATACTGAGCGTATTGTTTGAAATAACTGTGTCATTGGGACTTTAGCACCAAATGTAATGTAGAAGAAACAGGTAAGGGTATGTGTAGAGTACTATATAAATTCTAAATAATTTCTAAATTCTTACTTATCAATTGAGAAGAAAGGTAGATACCATTTGCTTTGTTTTTAACTTGGTGCTTGCACGATTGCTTGAGATAATTATTTCCAAATAACTGGACTAATTGTTGGCATTTAAACTCCAAGCCATTTAACATAAATACGAAATTAGTGCTTTCTTTTCTTAGGTTACTGTGACCGTGGTTAACATGATTTAGAATCTGAAGGCTTTTGTGGTTTATGTAATAATATATCAAATCTGTGGGGGTTTTTTTGTTTGTTTGTTTATTTGTTTGTTTTTTAGTTTTGGTGTTTTGTTTGTTTGTTTGTTTTGGAACCGGGGATTGAACTTGGGTCCTTGAGCTTACCAGGCAGGTGTTTGTGCCACTGAGCTTTATCTCCAGCCCAAATCTGTGTTGATATAGTAGTGTCATCCTAAGTAAAATTTTTTTTTTTTTTTTTTTTTTGCGGAACCGGGGATTGAACTCATGCCGTTGCGCTTG